AATCCAAGACGGTATGCAACAGCTCCCACTCTTGCGATCACGGGGTAAGGTCCGATATAACGCGGCTTCAGCTTCCCGCTCTGTCCGAACCTCGCATGACCTCGCATTGCCTGTACCCGAAGAAAGGCGTAATCTCCGACATCAAGCTCGAAGTCTCGACGTCGCTGATCGGCATATGACTTCTGTCGGTCCTGCGCCGTCTTCAGATGGGCGCGAATCCTCCGTATCGCCTCCGTGGTCTCCTCCACGATCTCCGGCCCAAATTCGCGACGTTCTCCGATCTCTGTCCAGCACAACGGTGTCTTGCACGGTCTCCCATACAAGGCCTCATATGGAGACACTCCGATGCTCGTGTGATGGCTGTTGTTGTACGCGAACTCGCACAATGTCAGATACTGGTCCCACGGAGCTCCCCACTCCATAATACAAGCTCGGAGCATGTCCTCCAGAGTCTGTATCGTCCGCTCCGATTGGCCATCTGTCTGAGGGTGGTATGCAGTGCTCATCTTGAGCTTCGTCCCTAGTGCCTCCTGTATCGCCTTCCATAGGCGTGACGTAAATCGGGCGTCCCTGTCCGAGATGATCTCGTTCGGAACCCCATGCAGACGCACGATCTCATCGACGCAAGTCTGCGCCAGTTGTTCGATCGAATATTCCTGCCGGATGGGGATGAAATGAGCGGATTTGGTTAGTCCGTCCACGACTACCCAAATGGCGTTCTTCTTGCTGGGCGTGAGTGGTAATCCGACCACGAAGTCCATGGCGATCGAATCCCACTTCCACTCCGGTATCTCCAGCGGTTGTAGCTTCCCTCCCGGCATTTGTCGCTCTGCCTTCACTTGCTGGCAAGTGAGGCATCTCGCTACGTAGTCCGCCACATCCCTCTTGACTCTCGGCCAAGTATACCACTGTCGCAGTCCTTGGTACATCTTGCTTGCTCCGGGATGTATCGCTAACCTCGACTGATGTGCCTCCGACAAAATCTCTTGCCTCAGCTCTGAGTCATCGGGCACACATAGTCGGTTCCCCAGTCTCAACGCTCCCTGTACACCACATGTCCCAGGAATCCGATTTCCTGTAGCCAGAAGCTGCACTTACTGAACTTCGCATACAACCGGTTTTCTCTCAGCCTCCATAGTATCTTCCGCAGGTGTTCTTCATGTGTCTGCGGATCCGGAGAATAGATAAGGAGGTCATCAATGAAAATGATGACGAACTCATCCAAATACTCCATGAACACACGGTTCATTAGTTGCATGAATACCGCAGGCGCGTTTGTGAGTCCGAAAGGCATGACCACGAACTCGAAGTGTCCATATCTCGTTCGAAACGCCGTCTTTTGTATGTCATCCTCCTTGACTCGAATTTGATGATAGCCGGATCGCAGATCGATCTTCGAAAACCATTGGGCTCCCTGTAGCTGGTCAAGCAACTCATCAGGGAATCCGATTTCCTGTAGCCAGAAGCTGCACTTACTGAACTTCGCATACAACCGGTTTTCTCTCAGCCTCCATAGTATCTTCCGCAGGTGTTCTTCATGTATCACATAAGTCAAGCTCTTGTGATCCGTGTTGAGCTTAACTTTCTCCCCATACAGATACGATCTCCAGATCTTCAGCGCGTGAACTACCGCCGCTAGCTCCATATCATGCGTCGGGTAGTTCTCCTCATGTTTCTTCAGCTGCCTCGACGCGTAAGCGATTACGTGCCCCTCCTGCATCAACACGCAACCGAGTCCATGTTTAGACGCGTCGGTGTATACCTCGTATGTCGTTCCCGGCCGTGGTAAGGCTAGGATCGGTGCTGACGTCAATCTTCGTTTCAATTCACCGAAGCTTTCCTCGCATTCGATCGTCCACTCAAACCGGACGTTCTTCCCCGTCAGTTTCGTCAAGGGTCGAGCGATCTTGGTGAATCCCTCGACGAATCGTCGGTAATAACCGGCTAGTCCCAGGAAGCTCCTGACTTCTGTCGCAGAAGTCGGGGACTGCCATTCCATGACGGCCTCGATCTTGGCCGGGTCGACCTGGATGCCTTGGGCCGACACCACATGTC